TTTAAGGCAAACATCAAAAAAAGGGGGGAGAAAAAAGGCACCGACGAGTGTAAAAATCCTCTTTAAAATGATGATGACGAAAAATAACAATACGAGTAGCAAAAGCGCACTTGATACACCCATTAGCGCACGTTTCCCATATTCATGTACTTATTACTTATAAGCCGGGGATCGAAAAGCTGGCCGATCGCGGCTCTCACGCGTCCGAAGCGGGCCCCCTTTTACGCATGTCCCGGGTAAAGGAACTTTGTTTTCCTTTTGTCATCTCACACGCCAAAACTCGGGCCCCACCAACGCGTACACTTGCGCGAAGGACGTATCAATTGAGCGAAAAGATCGGGCTCTCTCGGGACTTGCGCGCCAACTCTTTGTCCGGACTGTACCGTGTTTCATTAATCGACTCTATGCACACGGTATATACTTATTTTATATGGTGTATTAAAAGCGCGCCTCCCCGGCATTTTACTCTCTTTCTCCTTTATTCATCGCTGCTCGGGTTTAAGCTATGCGTTTTTACTGCACGATGTGTCCCCCTTCATTCGCAACGGCTGTTACGTGTATACTTGCGCTGCTATTTTAGTTATCGGGGCATACTTGGCCCAAGATATGCGTGTGTCTATAAGTATAATGGTGGCATCTTTGATAAGCAAGCGACCAATATTTTTTGAATAATTTCTTTTTTTTTTTTTATAAACAATATCAGCTTGTACGGGGAAAACTTCAAGCAGACCTTTGAAATTCCATTATAAGAACAAACCATGCGCCGATGGAAAATTTTTGAGAATCAAGAAAATGTTTACAGAATATATTATGTAAAAACACCTCTTGAATTTAAATTACATTTTCTCACGCTTTGAGATAGCATTAAATTCCAACAAAAAATATTTACTTGGTAATGTTCCAATGGGTTCTAAGAAACTTTGTTGTGTAATTTTTTTGGATAAAAAAATTAATGGGAAAAAGCCGTCGTTTAAAAACATGTGATTTTCAAAGAAGAAGAAGAATTACGTCACTTTATCGGTCGAGGATCGACCGAATATGTCACGTGACGCGAAAACACGTAACTACGTGTATCAGCCGGGACGCATGAATGAACTCCGTGAAACGTAAGCTACTTGACGCGATTAAGATTTTTCAAAGACACACACATAACGTAAGTATGTGTCCTCGAGAACAATTAGGTTGTATACGAGCATACTTGACTCAGAGTTACTCACCGAGTGCAAGTAATAAATTTTGATTGCAATTAAACTTTGCGAGCAATTATTTCATTTCCCGTACCGGACTGTGTTGTTTTGAGAGAAAAAAAAAAAAAAAAATATTAACCGATCGCACGATTATTTAAAACCGGTAAGTGTATATGATTGGTACGATCGAGAAATATATACATCAGACATGTAGACCAAGGCTGTGGCACGTTTGTGTACAATTTTGAAAATAACAAAATACACGCTGCCTCAATTAAATATCGAGTGCAGCAACACATACGTGTAAGTACACATTGTAGCGGTAGGATGACAGAGCGGAGGACGATCGAGATAACTATACTCACGCTTGTTTCATAATATTATATCGCCACTACTTATCAAGTCATAACAATTTGACACGGGGAATGACATTTTTTTTTGCTTTGCAACGAGTCCATGGGAAAGTTATTTTACCACACGGTTGATTCAACTGTGGTAAAGTGCGCGTTTAAAGCTCAGGTAGTTGCTCATTTTTTAGATAAAATTTGTAATTAAATACTGAATCGAACACCTTAAACGGGAACTATCATGGATAAAACGCGCATACGAGTGTGTTAAACCGGTGACAGCACTGCTTCACTTTCTACAGCCTTCTCGTGTCAATAGTCAAAGAAAGAAATTTTGCTTAGTTCAACGGAACAAGTGAAATAGTTTACGTACGTGTATCAGTTTATTTTTTCTTGAAACGCGGTATATTTTACAAGAAAATATAAATTCCAAAAATACGCTAGAAATGTGCATTTCAAGATACTCGGATTTACAGCGACAAAAGTAAAATAAAATAAAAGCTTAAACTGAGAGCTCCAATGAATCCCAAGATCCAATTTTAGAAATAAACCGATCTTTTCTCCGATGGTTGAATAAATGAACTGTCATAAGTTTGGGCGGGCGTTCAACAATAAGACCACTGTGTTGGCAACAAAGATTTCAATCGATCTTTTCTCCCTTGTTTTACTTTGAGACGCATACAGATAGGAACAAAAAATTAAATATCAACTGTAATAAATGCGACGGTTATTGTTGCACAAAGAAATCGGCAAATCTCGTTCAATCACGAATTAAATTTGCAGGTCGAAGGAGACGATGCCGGCGCCGAAGTTAGCTGCGGCCTCAGATGCAGAGTCGATCACGTAAGTGTACTTAACAGCGTCAGCCACGTTATGTACTCGTCCATCCATTCGACAGATTAGAAAAATTAAAAAAGAAAAAAAATAAGTCAAGGTTCACTCTTTTGATGGGCTTTTTTTTTTTCACCTTTTCAAAGTTTAAGCCAAGTACACATGGACATGCAGGGTCCCCTTTTTATCACGTCTCTTTCAAAAGTCATCGGAACGACGTTAATTTGAATATAGAAAATAAACCGTCCCACGGCGTTGTATTATCATTGCATGGTATGTACACGTCCCTCGACGACGACGCCATAGACAATGGGGCCGGTTTCCGGCGTTCAGCCAATTGTCAATGCGAAAGAAAGGAGGAAAGAAAAAAAAGAAGAAAAGAAAGAAATGATCGAGACTTTTTCATCGTTCGTAACAACTAACGTAATATGCGCATATATGATTATATTGTGTATATACTTACGCGGCGCGGTTGGAAAGAAAAAGAAAAAAATTATCCTAGGAAGAGTATACACGTATAGGAATTACGTAGTACATGTACATGGGAAAAGATATAAGTAGGCAATAAAAGGCAGAGCTGACTAAGCCCTGATATACAACGACGGTTTGTTTCTGTAGCTACATATCTGTACGTACGACTGATAAGTGTAACGAGGAAGCTTTGTTCGGGATTTTTTTTTTTTTCTTTCTTTTTTTACACAGAGGCGCACGTGTGCGTTTAATTACGCGCATAACTCGCTTGGAATTTTTTTTTTTTTTTTTTTTTTCCTTCAAACATTTATTGGCTCGTGCGTTTTTGGTACAGCTGTTTTGCAAGGTATACATTAAATTTGCGACAGTGGTAGCAAATGATTTTTCCGAACCGTTGAGGTTGAAAATGTAATAAAAGAAGCCGTAAAAATAAAATTGCTGATTTTTTTTTTTTTTTTTTTTTTTTTTATCAGTAAGTACACTAACAAAACGGTGTTTGCCAAACAACGGGCAGCTGGAGATTCAAAGCAGGAAACCACGTGTTGCAAAAAGCAGCATTAGATAAAAATAAGGCAGATACCTGTCCATTTGGTACATCACTTTCCTCTCTTCTCTACACGCAGCTAAAGTATACGTACAAGTATTCCTTGAAAACCTTGAAAATTACACGTACATGTGCTTATCATCGTTTTTTTTTTTTTTTTTTTTTTTTTAACGGCGTGTTGGAAATTCCTTTTTTTTAGTAAACGCATTGGAAACGCACGGGAACAAAAGTGCAAGCCAGCATATACATATACAACCACCTCTCGCTATAATATACTGATTATGCTTTGTGGGAGGGGCTTGCTGGTCGTAAATGAATGCGTATATATAGACGCAGGCGGTAGATAAATTTTCACGGAGCGTGGGTACAGCGGGAAAAGATTGATTTACACCAATAACTCGTGCGCACTGCTTCAAAGATCGCGTCAAATTTTTAATTTACGCATGCATTTTTTCATTTCTTTTTTTTTTTTGTAAAAACAGAGTATCGTTATTGTACATGGAAAATACTTTGTTAAATGGTAACTAACAATTACAGTGAGGTACGACTTTTCTGTGGAACAGATTTTTTTTTTTTTTTCATTAGTCACAGTAAAGGCACTTCCCTCGTAAATAGATTTATGAAATGTTCGAAACCATACCGTGTATATTTGTAAGTCGATATTCTTATTCCGTAAACGAAAAAATGTGAAACGCCAAAAACGCTAGCTGCCAGTAAGATCACGCGCACTCGTGCGTAAACTTATACAATTATTTCACAGAGTTTAACCCTCCTCCTGACAATTGACTATGTACATCGCACATGTGTATATGTATACAGATGGGCTCGGCGTGGCGTTGACTTTCGACGGAAATAGCGCAATTGCCGTGCGACTGAATAATGTCGCTTGCTCGCGAGCTTGCGGAGTTCCCCTGTAGGTACCCATCTATAATTTTCCTTCTTTCCGTTTTTTTTCTCGTCCACAATTATCGAAGGTTGGCGAAAACAAGAGCCGATGGCCAAAGTAAACGGTAATTCCCAAGGATTATTTTGTCGTTTTGGTCAGTCAAAAGCGTAACCGGTAACGTTGCCGCCTATATAATTTTGCCATCATTGAATTATCGTTTATCGGAGAAAACCTTGATTTATCTTGATACGACGAATTTCAGGTCTTTTCTTTTTTTGTTTGTTTTTCAATATAACATATTTTATTTACAGTGCTCCGTCGGCTGTCTCGTATGGAGGGAGGCTCTCAATTCGAGTTGTCACAAAGTTTGCGTAAGTTAGTTGCCAACTGTCAATCAAAATTGATAAAATTGATAAAATTGATGGAAATTCCTTATGACCCCTATAACGCACAGAACGCAACGCAGAAACTGCTGTACGTCAAGGAACTTTATTGCACGATAGGCTGTGGAAACGCCGTGAAGCAGTACTTCAAACAAGCAAAAGGTAATCAACAATAATCCCAACGATCCAGATTAACACTATTTACAAAGGGATGTTTATGTATATAATATAAAAGTGAGTCTGTACACAGCATACACAGACACCCACACTTTAACGTAATACTTGGTCTCTCTCTCTCTCTCTCTCTCTCTACTTATAGTTTACAAGGGTAACGTGATACGGCGGGCAGCCTCAAAAATTCTTAAACTCCTCGGCAAATCGGTCGTGACTGTTGACCTTGAGCTCTTGCTCGTCGTACGAGTCAAAGTTACTGTAGTCCCCGGGGCTGCTGCAAGCCGGCACGAAACCCGGCACGACCTCCCTGTTGTAGATTCCCAGCCAATCGGTCTTTTGGAACCACTTGTGCTTCTTGACGTCCTCCGGGCCGGCCTTGAGGTTCCCGTAGCGCCTCGTCAGGTCGACCTCGAGCAGGTGCTTTATCAGGTCGCGCAGGTCCTCCCTGAAGAAACCCGGACACCGGTACTTGCCCGAAGTGATCTTCTCGTAGATCTTGACCGGCTCCTGCGAGTAAAAGGGCGAGTAGCCGGCGTTCATCTCGTAAATGAGGACCCCGAAGCTCCACCAGTCGACGCTCCGGCTGTACCCCCGCGACAGTATGATCTCCGGCGCCAGGTACTCCGGCGTCCCGCACAACGTCCACGTCCTGTATACGGAATTACGATTACGATTCGCCCCCCACCGCTCTCTCATGCGCATACAAAAGATGCAGGAAATGAAAAAAAAAAAAACAAAAACAAGGGGTCGATCTCCTTTCCTGTTCTCGATCATCTTGCTGAAGCCAAAGTCGGTCACGCGGACGTAGCCCTCGTTGTCGATGAGTATGTTCTCGGGTTTGAGGTCCCTGTAGACGAGGCTGCACTTGTGCAGGTACTCGAGCACGAGGGCCACCTGGGCGGCGTAGAAGCGCGACAGGTTCTCGTCGAATTTCCCGAGTTTCCGGAGGTGCGTGAACATCTCGCCCCCGTTGACGAACGGCAGGACCATGTATATGTACGAGTTGTCCTTGAAGCAGTGCTCGAGGTGGACGACGAACGGGAATCGTATGCTCTGGAGGATCCGCCTCTCGTTGTAAGTGTGCTCGACCTGTCCGCTTGATCGTTCATATATTTTTTTTATTATTTGTAGCTTAATTGTGAATGAACCGACCAGGCCCGACCTGTTTCGTCCTGACGAGTTCCTTCTTTTCCAAGATCTTCATGGCGAAGTGGCCCGAGTTCTGCTTGTGCCTGACCAGCATGACCCTGCCGAAGGCCCCCGTGCCAAGGGTCTTGATCCTCTCGAACTCCCCCAGCTCGGCCTTACTCCCACCGCTAGGGGCGCGGTTGTTGTTCACCTTCCACCGCGATTCAAACTCCTTTCTGTGCTTCTCCAATATCGCGCTGTACTCCTTGAAGGTTTGCTCGCGCCTACGCGCCTCGCCCACCGTACTGATAGGCCGCTTCGACGATCTTCTTCTCGCCACCGCCGCGGCGTGACCCTCCAACGACATAATATCTCAGCGTTGTGCTCAACCAACTCTTTTTGTTGTTTTTTTTTTTTTTTTTTTTTTTTTTTTTTTTTTGGCTCCGCAATATACGACACACCGCTACTCTGGCGAATTTTTAATTTCCGTTGTTGAGCACATTCAAGTAATTCTCACAAAAGCAAAACACGTCCCATTCTTTTTATTGTCTTTGTTGATTTTATTTTTTTTTTTTACTTTTTTTTTTCTCCTCCTCCTCCCCTTCTTTTGTTATAATGTATGTACTTGTAGGCACTTACGCGCACTCCACTCCGCTTCTACCCTCGTGTCATCTCGTTAAACTCACTTGCGCATACGTGCGTGAATCATCAGCTAATTATTGTTTTCTTTTTCTTTTCTTTTTTTTTTTTTTTCCCCGCCATCGAGAAGGTTAATTGTTATTATACACGTCTTGGCGTCTGGAGGAGTTTGACGACAACTTCATACGTGTTGTTAGGAGTGTATACCATATATGACGGAGTATACGTCATTTTTTCTAATGGGGTTTTTTTTTTGTTTTTTTTTGAAAATGTGTAGCTAAAATTGGAGTACCGCCCACGCCGGTTCTGGTCGAAGACTCGCTGGCCGAGACTTCGCTCACCCTCAAGTGGGACAACGCGAGCTTGGGCCAACGCGACTTTAGGGTGCTCTACTTTGCGCAATGGAGGCACGACAATGCGGAGGGCCGCTGGCAGTACGGGAGTTATCAGACTTGGAACGGCAACAATCAAATTTTCATCCACAACCTCCAGCCCTACACGAGTTACCGGGTATGAGATTCTATAGCTCCTCATCCTGGAAAAACACGGCGTAAAATGCATATTTTTTTTTTTTTTTTTTTTTTTTTTTTTTTTTTTTTTTTTTTTTTTTTTTTTTTTAATCCATGCAGTTCCGATTGGCGATAACTTTAACGTCGGCGCAAGACGAAGCCGACGAGGCGTCGTTTTCCGAGCCCAGCGAGCGGGTGCTGACGTTCCCGAGGGGCCCACCAGCCTCGGCGCCCGTCATTCTAAAGGCACTGGCCATCGACCACTCGAGGATTTACGTCAACTGGAAGCCGGGACCATTCACCAACGGGCCGCTCTACTCGTACGTCCTGCGACTCCAGCAGCGGGGCCACGAGGCCTTTCAACTGAAAGTTCGTATACTCGCAACACGTGTGTGTACACGTATACATCATATGTAACGCCATTTGTGCCTTTCCAGGACATACCGATCACCCACGACAGCTTCATGTTCCAAAACCTCGAGGCCAACACCAACTACTCGGTCGCTCTGACGATGCGCAACTCGGAGGGCGAAGGACCATCGACCTCGACCTTCGTGACAACCCTTTTGGAGCCGGAAGGTAGATGTTTTTTGGCATGTGCAAAGTGTATGTACAATGCTTATACTTGGCCGATTTTCCCGCAGCCAACTCGTCGGATAAGCCGAGCCTGATAGTGACCAGCGGAAACAAGATCTTCCGGCCGGGTATGGAGTCGAGTCCCCTCGTGTGGACAGCCGAGCGGATCCGGGACAGCGTGGTCTATTTCGCCGATTCCCGGCTCTACCTGTGCGACTCGAGCGACCGGTTGTACGTGGCGCCGATCGATGGGACGGCCAGTCCCGAGCTCGTCCTTCTCCTCGACCCGAACACCACGGACTTTCGGCCCTGGAGCTTGTCGGTGGACTGGCTGGGCTCGCGGCTCTTCGTGGCGGGCTCCAACGACACCACCGAGTACTGGGAGATCGGCGTGACCGGCTTGGACGGCGGCAACGTCACCGAACTTCTCACCGAGCTCATGAGCCAGCCCAAACAGCTCGAGGTCGATCCCTACAACGGCTACCTCTTCTGGCTGACTGGCGAGGGTATTTACAGGGTCGACCTCGGTGAGCTTGGCCGGAAACCCGAGCCAGAGGTACAAACGCCTTTTTCTCTTCTTGGTGAATCCGTACAACCATTAAACGCCCTTCTCTCGCTCGCAGCCACAATTGATCCTGAAGAAGCAGCACCTGGGAGCCTTCTTGGTCGACTACGCGAACAGGCGGCTGCTCGTGGCTTACAAGTCGGAAAACACGGTAAAGTCCGTCTCCCTGGACGGAAAGATCATAGTCGACGTGCGGGTGAACGCCAAGCAGCCAAAGTTCAAGAACGCGTCCTCGATCTCGATGGCGAACGGGCTGTTCTACTGGACCAACGGGCCGGAGGTATTCGCCGAGAGCTACGAGCCCAACGACTTTCGCTTCTTCCACAGCGTGCTGTTCACCAGGTATACAGGGAGCGAGAAAAATATCAATATGATCAATTTACAAACGAGAGGGTCGCACATAGAGACGGGGAGGATTCCTTCGTCAAGTTGCAAGTGGTGGCCGACGAGCGCCAGCCGACGCCGATACCAGCGAGACCGCCGACGAGGGTCCAGGGTCTGGCGCTAGCCGATCGGGCGAGGATATCGTGGCGTGGGCCCGAGCTCCTGCCTGGCCAGAGTCCTCTGAGCGCGTGGTCCAACTGGTCGTACAGTCTGGTGCTCGAGGACGACGTCAACGGGGAGATGATACAGGTGCGCGACATTCGGGGGACCGAGCGCGTCGTCGACGAACTGAGGGACGGCTCGGTCTACAGTGTCAAGATTGCGGCCCGATCGAGGTCCGGCGAGGGGCCCTGGTCCGAGGAGTTTAAGATCCGCACGCTCAGGTGGGTGCACAATCGATTTACGCGCGAGCGATTTTAACGAGTGGTGGTTGCTTGGTGTTTCAGAAAAGATCTGGAAGCGTCGATCTTGTGGACGACGAGGGATGCCGTTTTCCAGAGCGACTTGATCGGCGAGGGTGTCCGAACTTTGGTGGACGTTACGCAGTTGGACAGCGACAAGAGGGTCTTGGTGGTCGATTTGGCGTGGCACGAGGATTTGTTGCTCATAGTCGGTGATAATTCGAGAGTGTACGCTTACAACGCGACGAGCCGCCAAAAGAGTTTGATGAGGCACGCGGCGTCGGCGAACAGAGTGGCCTTTGACTGGATTGCGCGGAAAATCTACTGGGCCGACGAGAAAAAGCGGATCGTGAGTATACGTGCGTTATTGCTAATTTGGACGGGCGATTATTTATTTTGGTCGTATTTGGCAGGTACTTCGGTCGCACTTGGATGGTTCCCACCGAGAACCTGTTGCGATAGTCGGTGTCGTGCAAAGGCTGCTGATCGATTCGTTGGAGGCGCACCTGTACTGGTCGACGAGCCGAACGGTCGAGGTCGTTCGGCTTAACGGCGAAGATAGGCGCCAGTACCGCTCCGAGGACGATTTTGATGGCCGTCGCGTTTCTGGCCTGACCCTCGATCTGGACAATCGGTACGTTTATTGGATCGTCGGCGATACCGAGGACGACTTTAAGCTCTACCGATCTCTCACTGCCGACAACCTGCCCACCGATCAAGACATCCTTCCCGAAGTTGTGAGTGTTTGCGTTTACTAGGATATATTATTATTTTACAAACGTGTGATAACATTCTCGTACACACCTCACCTGGTTCCAGGTATCGACGATACGCAACACGATCGGCAACTCGTTATCCTACGTATCCGATCGGTTCTTCTTCCTCGATTCGACACGGAGTGCTTTGACGACCGACGCCCACGGCAAATTTACAGCCACCATCTCCAACATCAGCGATCACTCGAGCCTCCTGTCGCTGTTTGTGAGAGGCCCGTTACCGAGCGTTCCGAAAAACTTGACGCCGATTGCCGTACGCCCCGGGAAGGTGAACGCCAGCAGCATAGCGATCGTTGGCACCTGGCGCGACTTTAGCGTCACCTGGCAGCCCGTGACCGGTCCAAACTACGGGCGCATCTTTTACGAGGTCAGTTTCACCGACTACATCAACGTCAACACTCAACCGGTCACGACCAGCCGAACCACTCTTGGCTACGCCAATGCCGATCAGCTGTTGCCCTACTCGCTGCTCGAGGTCACGATACGGGCCTACACCTACTGGGACGCCGCGCCTCGCGTCAGCCGTGTGCTCAGGTCGCCCCAGAGCGTGCCCAGCCAACCGGCAGATCCACGAGTCTTTGTCGAGAGCTTTAAAGACCCGCTGGCCGAATCTGTCGACTACTTTGCCACTTTCAGGTGAGCTCTGTTGAATTACGTTGAAATGTTTATCCACCGGCAGGATCATGTTTTAATACAAAGACTCTTGGCAGATGGGGTATGCCGGAATTTGGCAACGGACCCGTGCTAGGTTTTACGATCCAGTGCTGGATTTTGGTCGACGGCGCGGAAGTATTGATTTGCGACTCCGTCAACGTCACAGTCTCCGAACTAGGTGAGAGCCGATAACGATTTTCCTTGTGCTAAACGATTAAACACGCGACTAAAACTCGTCTCGTTGCAGAGTACAAGGTCCACAATCTCCGGGCAGCTACGGCGTACTACTTTCAAGTGCGCGCCTTTGCGGAGGTAGGGGCGGGTCCGTTCACCGATACGGTGTCCGCGTCGACGGAGAACGAGAATCCGGTGCCGCAGCTGCTGGTGGCGACGATGGAGGACGTTAAGAAGATCGACCTCGACGAGCGATCGAACCTCACGATAACGCGCCACATAGCCGTCGAGGTGGCCAACTTGGCGGCCGAAGCTAAGATCTTCTGGATCAACGAGATGCAAGAGCTGGTGACGGCAGACGCCGACGGCAGAAGCATCACAAAGATCCTCACGCTGAACAATACGGCGCTCAGCCTGTGCGCCGACTGGATATCGAGGAGCGTGTTCTGGACCGAGTCCGACATGGAGTCCGGTCTGAGCCACGTCATGAAGTTGGACATAACGGTGTGGGAGGCCGGAGATTACGAGTACTCGAGAATCTTGACAAGGAATCGGCGAATCGTCAATCTGGACATCGCTCCTCTGACCGGGTAAGATATAATATACATATACATGTATGAGCTCGTGAGTAATCGACAAAACCGAATAAAGATATAAAATGTACATGTATCCTAGAAATCTGTTTTGGTTCGAGCTAAGCACCAGCAGTCTCGGCTTCGTCATGCAGTCCGACCTGGATGGCGAGAACGTCCAGCCCTTTTTCAACCACACGGAGGACTGCTCCTGTCCCTTCAAACCGATGATCCAGCCGGTTTTTACCATCGATAACACCGATCCCTCGAGTCCCGTCGTCTACTGGATCTCCGACGAGGGTCAGCTCTTCATCGCCGACATCGAAGGCTGCATATGCAGCTTGGTCGTGCAGCCTGGCCCGGATCGAGGATTGCCGCCCACGTCTCTGACCACGGACAAGAGGTACATCTACTGGTCGAACAGGGACACGGGCAAAATTCACTACACCGACAAAAACGGGTTCGGAGACAGCATGACGATAAAGGTCAGTTGAACTATAGTGCAGGTGTATATATATAAACACATGCCCCGAACAAAACCGAGTTCCGTATTTTCCCTAGGACTACCTGATAAACGACACGCGAAGCATCCGAGCGATCGGCAAGTCTCTGCAGCCGTATCCCGAGCCCGACTGCCTGATACCCCAGCGCGCCCAGTACAACGTGCAGCAGGTGTCAAGGAGCTCGAGCAGCATCACGGTGCGGCTGCCCGAGGCCCAGGCTTACCTGGGCTGTGAAAAGTACAAGTTGCCGGCAACCAAGTACATAATCGACGTAGCCGAGTGCGATCGCCTCGAGGACCCCCAAAACGAGAGGCTCTGTGAAAACGGGACCAAGCACCAGACGTACACGCGGGAGTTCGAGGTTCGGGGCCTCAAGCCCTTCACCAAGTACCGTTTCAGGCTTACGCTGACCAACTACTACAGCGACCAGGAGTTTGCGGAGATCGACCAGTACGGGGCGGGCCTGCTCCTCAAGACCGATGTCGGGGTGCCCTCGAGTCCCGAGAACCTCGAGGTACGTGCGCTGACGCCCAATTTGGCCTCGGTCGAGTGGTCCCCGCCGGAGCTCTGGAACGCCGATTTCGTGCGCTACAAGGTATTTTGGAGATCAGCCAACGGCACCCTGCTGGGCGAGAAACCGGTCAAGGACGGGGACGCCTCGACGTACCTGCAGCCACTCACCCCGGGACAGAAATACGCCGTCCACGTGCGAGCTTACCCGGAGAACTACACGGATATGTTCAGCCGGAGCGACGAGAAGATCCTTAATATGCACCCGGAGCCGAACGATCTGACGCTCAGCGGAGTTAGCTCCGTGGCCATCAACGTCACTTGGCTGCCCGCCAGAGATTTGCTCGCGGATTACGCCCTTGAGTTCGCGGAGGGCGACAGCGACACTTGGCGGACTGTCGATAGGGCGGCGCAGGTGAGCGGCAGGCTCGTCTACCAGGTCTCGAACTTGCTGTCGAAGAAGCTCTACAAGTTCAGGCTGATACTAAAGTACCGGGGCAGCACGATCAACTACGTGTGGCCCAATGATGACAGGTTCACCTTCCAGACGCTTGGTGAGAACAGTGGCGTTTTTTCCCAACTATAAAATACGTCACTAGAGTGTGTATTTGTTTATTTTTATGATTTGTTGATCGCAGAGGACATACCGACGGCTCCGGGAGTGCCGTTGCTCGTCAAGTCACAGAACTCGAACCACCGAATCAGGTGGGAGCCGGCCAAGAGTCTGCACTCCAAGAACTTATTTTACCATCTCCAAGGTAGGACGATCGACGCCGATGACCTGGGAAACGTGACCAACGAGTGGATAACGTTGTACAACGGGACCGATGATTTTTGGGACGTCCCGCGTAACATGCGCCAAAAGTACGTATTCAGGACAAGGGCGTGGAACGATTATGGCTTCGGGAACTGGAGCGAAACCAGTCCCGTGGTCGATCTCAGCGAAATGACCAGGGCTCTGATGATCGCTCAGGAACACCTTGGACTGATCTTGGGCGTCGGAGTGGCGATTCTCACGCTCGTCCTGTTCTGCGTGTTTCTCTGTCGTAAGTGTCTTTCAATATCATTCATCATCGTGAGAGCGTGAGTGGCAAATAATTGTTTTTGTTTTTTGGCATCCACCGTAGCGCTCAACAAAAAGTCAAAGGAAGAACAGCAGCAGAAGCTTAAGAAGAAGAAAAAGGCGCCGATAAAGCTGAAGCCCCACGTCGAGTTGGCGACGCTGCGCGAGATACCTCGCGGGAACTTTGTCGAGGCGAATTCCCTGTACGTGGCAGCCGTGGAAACGGACGCGAGCGATTCTCTGTCGCCAAAGATCCAGAGGGAGCAGATATCTCTGGCCAAATTTCTAGGCAAGGGCGCCTTTGGCGAGGTCTTCCAAGGAGTCGTCAAGGACATCCAGGGCCCGGGCTCCACGACCCCCATAGCCGTGAAGACGCTGCGCAAGGGCGCGTCGACCCAGGAAAAAAACGAGTTCCTGCAGGAGGCCAAGCTCATGAGCCAGTTCCAGCACAAGCACGTGCTCAGGCTGCTCGGCGTTTGCCTCGACACGGATCCGCCACTCATGTTGCTCGAGCTCATGGCTGGCGGCGACTTGCTCAGCTACCTGAGAAACAGCAGGTGCGAACTACAGTGTGTACACATTTTCGTTGTCATGTGAATGTTGTACATGTGTACATGGTGATTTCAACAGGTCGCTGAAGCCAACCGACCCGTCGGCGTTGCGGCTGCAGGACTTGTTGTCGATGTGCGAGGACGTGGCCCGGGGCTGCCGGTACCTCGAGGAGCTGCACTTTGTTCACCGGGATCTCGCCTGCAGGAACTGCCTGGTGTCGGCGCGCGATCGCGACAACCGCGTCGTCAAGATCGGTGACTTTGGGCTCGCCCGTGACATCTACAAGAACGACTACTACCGCAAGGTATATAATATGTATACACATAAAAATCCACTACACGTTTCACAGTAGTTGTTTTTTTCCATACATAATCTCAAATAAAGAAAACGATAAACTAATTATAACTGAACGCATATGTGTGTATCCAGGAAGGCGAAGGGCTGTTACCGGTGCGTTGGATGGCCCCGGAGTCCCTGGTCGACGGTGTCTTCACGTCGCAGAGCGACGTCTGGGCGTTTGGGGTCCTCATGTGGGAGATAACGTCCCTCGGCCAGCAGCCCTACCAGGCGCGCACCAACATCGAGGTGCTGCACCACGTCCGAGCGGGTGGCCGGCTACCCAAGCCTCTCAACTGTCCGATTCGCCTGCACCAGCTGATGCTCAAGTGCTGGAGCTCCGTGGACGCGCGACCGAGTTTCAAGGACTGCCTCGAGTACATACTTCTGCTGAGGAACAGCACCGAGGACGCCGTGCTCAGTCCTGTTAACCAGTTCCACGTCAATGGTATATATACTTACATTGTAAATAAAGTGTTACTTTGTGTATACATATGTTTTGGGTGTTTTCTTCTTTCAGGAAATCCGTACAACAGGTCGAGCCACTTCAGGGCCAACCTGAGCATGCAGCCGCTCTTCCAGGACAGCTCTGACGACACGAGCAAGCCGACGATCGGGCCAAAGTACTCGTGGCTGCTGGACGACGAGGAAGACGATTCGAAGGACCCGAGGGCGGCTTACGAGATACCCAAGTCCATACCGGTAGCGGTGCAAAGCGCGACGATCGACAACAACAATGATCCAAACGATACCGGTAGGTACATCGATATCTACACCGAAGAGGGTAATGACAAAGGTGTCCTGGACGACGGCGCGTCGGACCAAAAGAGCGACATCGATTCCCGGACTGCCCACGAGGACGAGGAGGAGGAAGGGTGGATGGACAACCGAAAGCCCTCATCCATGGCCAGTTTAGGTGACAGTAGGTCCCTCAAGCAGTTGGGCTCGTACGCCAAGCTGGTGGGCAACGGGGAGAGCGTGTCTTCGCTGAGCGACTGGAGGAGGATGAAGAAGATCGCGAGCGACAGGCGCGAGAGGACGATCAACGATGCCGAGGAGACGAGGAGCAACGCTTCGACAATCGTGTCGTACTCGACGATAAGCTTCACGCAAGGCAGCGCGAGTCTACCCAGGGCGAGGTTGCAGAGATCTAAGTCGAGTTTGCAAGGCGCGAGGGCCAATATACCTTTGGTGATTAACAGTGGACTGTTGAATATACTGAGGCAAGAGACGGAGGGCCTCGATGAGGGTGACAGTGATGAAGTGAGTTACGCGAATGTTGACTCGGACACGGACAAGGTCACCGATTTGTGAATCATTTTTATTTTTTTTTAATTTTAAAACGAGCTACATGACGCTCCAAGACTGTGTAGTAATAATAATAACTAGTGGACTTTTCAAGTTTACAATAAAACGAACTATTGCTTTCTCGGTTTTAAGGAGAACAAAGAGCTTTTGTGCTAGTAATTTATTGTAAGAACGATCAAAGACGCTGTACATGCGTAATGCATATTTTAAGATATATCTTGAGTATAAGCATATCGATATAACTAGTATTATTTAATTACGTTATGAAATTATGTTTAAACAAGCGACAAACTTTGTGAGCCAAAGTATATTTTTTTTTTTTTTACCTAAGAACATGATTGTGTATTAAATATTTTTAAGTGAGGTTTTTTTTTACACAAACAATCGAGATTGCTCAATGTAAACGATATGTACGATTTGTTTGGTATATGTAAAACTGAAATTTTATTTCATGTACTCGTTTTACATATTTTTCACTTTCACATTAATAAATTGTTCATGGCATTTTATGTTAAATACAAAAAAGCCTGGGTTGTATGATTCATCAATTTAATCTTGAGGCTTTTTCTCAAGAAAATGTTGGGTAGCGTTATTAAATAGGTATACAAATAAATTCACATGTTAAGTTAATTTATACATGACTGAAATTACATGTACTTATTCAACATTTAGAATAACATTTTAAAACAAAACATTTTTCAAGTACAAAACGTACAAATTCATTTATTGTACTTTGAACGTGAATGATTTCTTTTTTTTTTTAAATAGTATAACATATGCATATAAGCTACAACAAGCTCTAATATGAAAGAAAATTTGAAACTCCTATAAATATGTATGGATACAGCTTATTTTACAGTTTTATACATTATTTTACGTGACTCGTTCGACTTACTCGTGGACATCATCATCTTCGTGGTCATATTTACTTTTCTCGCAAATAACAACAAACTCCCGAGTACTTGCTGCAAATTTAATAACGTCCCTTTCGGCCAGCTCGTGCCATATTCTTGGCTCTAATTGTACTTTATTGACGAATGTCCCGTTTGCAGATCCCAAATCAATTAAATAAGGTCTGATGCGCTTTGCCTCTGCCCCATCCTCTTTTTTATAAGGTACTAATCGAAATTGCAAAGCTGCATGTTGCTTTGAAATTGAAAGATGATCCATCGGAATGTCAGCAATTTTTCTCTCCTTGCCAAACAGATAGACTGATTGTTTGTCTATGTGGAGCACAGGTAAGGCTTTCTCGCCCTTGAACGGATACAATCTCCATTTGCGTTTTATCGGCTTGTGAGCATCTTCTGGCTCAGCATACTTTAAAGCAATACCATTGACTGTCTTAGTGTTTTCACAAATGTAAAAGTTCAACTTGTCTTTTTCTTGCTTTAGCTTTGGTTCAACTTTGGCCTTGCCTTTTACCCACTCTGGTGACGGATCTTTTTTTGCTACAAAGGCCTGAAAAGAAAAAAGTAAATTCCATGTACAAAACACGTTCCAAACTTATATGTGGACCAACCTCGAGAGAGAGGGAAAAACACCTACCATTTCGTAGCGTGAACGACTTCTGTAAAACCTGTCGTCATCATCACGATGTCTGTTCTCGTAATACCTATCAGCTGATCTCCTGGGCCTGTCATCGCTACCCTCGCGTCTTCTCTGCTGTTGTCTGTCATCCGTGGTATCTTCTTCGGTTCTCCTGTGCCTCTTGTTCTCAAAATCTTTACTGTACCTGGACGGACCCTCCTCGTCCCATCTACTACTTCCACCACCGCCTCCACTCCTATTGCTGCTGTAAGACTGCTGCTCACCCTCACTGAATTTTCGTTTACGCTCGAAATTTGGCTCCGGAGTACCACGATCGTCCCAACCACGTCGTGACATCCTCGAGTAAATTCTAGCTAGATTTTTTCAGTCTACACACACACACGCACGCGCGTACACACGCAATACTTTTATTAACTAAATTTGTGAACTAATTGTTTCCCGTATACTTAAGTATGTAATTAGCAAGAAACTCGGATTATACAATAAGTAGGCATAATACGGCAGCCTCTTAGAAAAATATTAATCAGACTGAAAATAACCTCACTAATTCAACAACTTACTGGCTAGCAGATAAAGTACGAACCCTACGAACTATTACGAACTACAGTGAGCAGTCTGCATTAAACAGGGACAAAAACAAATACGTTTATATACATTGAGCGCACATATATTTTTGTATAAATATATGCAGTGCGGCGCGGTCGCGATTCGCGTTCGCGGCGGCCGCAGTATTTTTATTTCACTTTATCCTCAGACCGCACAAATAACCAGTGTAATCGCTTTTTTTTGTTCAAGTGATATAATTATAATAATTGATTCTCACCCATGAAATAAATGTGCATGTTTCTCTCCGGACAAACACCATACGTTACTGCAAATAAAATGACAAATAACGTCAATGGGTCCAACCAATTGTACTATCTCAATTAGCATCAGTTAAAAAACCAAACACAGTATATACCTAGATACATATGGACACGCATGTAAATCTATATATACATTACCCCCTACATCAGTTTACAATAGGCGCCATCTAGCGGTCTTCATTTTTTCGCTTCGCAAAAAGTGGCCTCTAAAATTCTAAATCAGCTAGAGCTTTAGGGCCTAGAGCAATTTAATCAATTATAAACTAGCCATTTCATGTGCTATTTGCGGCAAGTTTACAATCTATCTTTTACCCGAAAATTGTCCTCTTATTTAATTATACATTTGGGTTAATGGTAAAAGGTCTAGAGTATTGAAATTGTAAATATTATCGATTTTATAAGCCTTTTAAGATAAGTAGAATATTTATTCTTTTGAAGGTCGATTTTCGGGTAAAAGATAAATTGTAAATTTGCCGCAAGTAGCACAAACAATGTCAACTTTTTATTGTCTATATGTAAGATTAGTTGCGGCTGGTTTATAATTAATTAAATGGCTCTACTATAGTACTATGAGTAGTATTAATCATTTGGATCAGCGCCATCTAGCGTTGCGGATTTCTGAACTAAAAAGTGGCCCTAAACTTTTGAACCAGAGCTTTAGCGCGTAGAGCCATTTAGTCAGTTATAAACCAGCCGCAACTCATGATGAAGCTATAAAATAGAAAAATAACAATACATGTGTTTTTGGCGGCAAGTTAACAATCTATCTTATGCTCGAAAATTCATCTACAAAAGTACAAATACATAGGAGGTCGATTTTTGGTAGAAAATAGATTGTTAACTTGCCGCCAAAAACAAACGTATCGTTATTTTTTCATTTTATAGCTTCATCATGAGTTGCGGCTGGTTTATAACTGACTAAATGGCTCTAATCCTGATTGCTCTGATTGAGAATTTTAGAGGCCACTTTTCGCCAAAAAATAAAGACCGCTAGATGGCGCTGATCCAAATAATTATTACAACTTACAGTAGAGCCATTTAATCAATTATAAACCAGCCGCAACTAATGTAATAGGAATAAAATGAAAAGTTGAGGTTGTTTGTGCTATTTGCGGCAAATTTACAATATATCTTTTACCTTAAAATCAACCTCCAAAACCATAAATATTCTACTTATCTTATATGGCCTATAAAATCGACAATATTTACAAAATTACAATACTCTAGACCTTTTACCATTAACTCATGTAAGCACAAATGAATCAGTCGAAAAGAGACAACTGAAGAAAATAGGTCTTAAAAAGAAGCACAGTCACACGAAAAGTCTCATAAGAATGGAGCATCGGATCTCACTAAATAAAAAATACATTTATTACAGAGAAGTAAGTTTTAAGTAATATAAATAAACAAAGAACCCAACCTTCTCTGATTACAGGAGATCCAATGCTTCATTCTTAGGAGACTCTTGGTGTGACTGTGTTTTTCTTTCAGGCCTTTTTTCTTTAGTTGTTTCTTTTAGACTGAATAATTCACGTATATATTGGATCGTGATTCAAGATTTTTGGAACAAAAATTTTGCTATGTACATATTATATAAGTTAACTGTTTATTGGAAATCTAAAGTTGATGGGCTGTTCTTCCATGACTTAATGGAAAGTTAACATGGCCTGTGCTATTTGCGACATGTTTACAATTTATCTTTTACCCAAAAATCCACCTCCTACGTATTTATACTTTTGGAGGTCGATTTTTTATAACACTTAAAACTTACTTCTCTGTAATAAATGTATTTTTTATTTAGTGAGATCCGATGCTCCATTCTTATGAGACTTTTCGTGTGACTGTGCTTCTTTTTCAGGCCTTTTTTTCTTCAGTTGTCTCTTTTCGACTGATTAATTTGTGCTTACATGAGTTAATGGTAAAAGGTCTAGAGTATTGTAAATATTGTCGATTTTATGAGCCATATAAGATAAGTAGAATATTTATGGTTTTGGAGGTCGATTTTAAGGTAAACAATTAATTGTAAGCTTGCCGCAAGTTGCATAAAAAATGTCAACTATTTATTGTCTATTCATAAGATTATTTGCGGCTGGTTTATGACTAATAAAGTGACTACTGTAAATAGCAATAATTATTTGAATCAGCGCCATCTAGCGGTCTTGATTTTTTGGCCAAAAGTGGCCTCTAAAATTCTCAATCAGAGCAATCAGGATTAGAGCCATTTAGTCAGTTATAAACCAGCCGCAACTCATGATGAAGCTATAAAATGAAAAAATAACGATACGTTTGTTTTTGGCGGCAAGTTAACAATCTATTTTCTACCAAAAATCGACCTCCTATGTATTTATACTTTTGTAGATGAATTTTCGAGCATAAGATAGATTGTTAACTTGCCGCCAAAAACACACGTATCGTTAATTTTTTATTTTATAGCTTCATCATGAGTTGCGGCTGGTTTATAACTGACTAAATGGCTCTACGCGCTAAAGCTCTGGTTCAAAAGTTTAGGGCCACTTTTTAGTTCAGAAATCCGCAACGCTAGATGGCGCTGATCCAAATGATTAATACTACTTATAGTAGAGACATTTAATCAATTATAAACCAGCCGCAACTAATGGTTTAGATACAAAACAAAAAATTAGCGAAGTTTGTGCTATTTGCGGCAAGTTTTTAATTTATCTTTTACCCAAATATTTACCCCTAAAAGTATAGATATTATACTTATATAGTTTAATAAAATCGACCACAATACCACATGGCACTACTTAGTAGTGATAACTTTTACTATAATTACTACACATAACTTCATGTATATATATATATATCTTACACCGTGCTCTCTTTACCAGAATGATAAAATATCAGAGGCTGGAATTATATTTAGGCTGACACTAGGGGCTGGTGAATTTTTGCAGTTCTACCACTAGCGTTGACGGCGGATAATTTTCTGAGTGTTTTTTCTTAGGTTTTAGGATAGGACTCCTCGCGTTTCGAATTTTGAACTAAAAAAAAAAAAGGCAAAAGTAAAAAGTAGCCCTACGCCAGTCGCCAGGTAAGGATCTGGTAAGGAGCTTGAGGCTTGAGCTTGAGAGCTACTTCTTAGTTCAAAGTTCAAAATTCGAAACGCGAGATGGCGTTGATACTCTCACCCAGTCCGAACAGTGTCCGATGATGTCCGAGAGTCCGAGTACGAGTGTATAAATATCAGTTATTTACACGCGCGCGTTTGATTCTACTGAATACTAATTAATTATTGACTTCTATTGAAAAAGTTTGTGTAAATCGTAACCTTTAAGAATTAAATAATAAATTTTAACGGAAAAATGACAGAAAAACAGCGCGTGCTTCTTTGCGGGGACGTCGAAGGGCGTTTCAAGTTACTTTTCAACAAAGTGGACGCCATCAACAAGAAAAGCGGACCATTCGACTTTCTTTTTTGCGTTGGAAACTTTTTCGGCAAAAACAATGCTGACCTGGAGCCATTCAAAGCCGGGACCAAGACGATATCTGTTCCCACGTACATTATGGGCCCAAACGACGACGAGGGTCTCGTACATTACACGGATCCCACTGGTGGGGAAATATGCACGAACCTCACGTACCTGGGCAAACATGGATTGTACACAGCTAGTTCTGGACTAAAAATTGCTTATCTCAGTGGAGTCGAAAAAGGCAAGGACGTTGCCAAAGAGTGCTCGTTCGATCACAAAGACGTCACGGCTTTGAGGAACTCGTGCCTCAAAGGTTGTCCTAGTTTTCGTGGAGTTGATGTTTTGTTGACATCGCAGTGGCCAGAAGGTATCTCAAATTTGGACGAGCAAAAGCCGGATTTTGAATACCAAGGTTCGAGGTTGATATCGTGGCTAGCAACGCACATCAAGCCCAGGTATCACGTTAGTGGATTAGAGAATGTTCATTATGAAAGGTCGCCTTACAGGTACAAGGATTTGTTTCAACCATGTTTTTGAATAATTCATACATTTCAAAGTACTTATTGATTGATAAAACTCATTTTTATTTGCAGAAATCAACATGAGAGTCAAGATGGTATAAACATTGCTACTAGATTTATAGCACTTGCAAAAGTAGCTAATCCTGAGAAGAAGAAGTGGCTCTATGCCTTAAATTTGACGCCACTGGATAAGACAAAAATTACTGAACTGATGATGAAGACAACCGACGAAACACCTAGTCCATATCCACAGTCAATGTTACAGAATAATCCAAATAAGAAAACAGAAGAGCAAAATCAGTATTTTTATGATATGGAATCGAAAAATGACAAGAAGAAAATCAAAAGAGCCAAAATGGAATTTGATCAAAGCAAATGTTGGTTCTGCCTTTCAAGTCAAGATTGTGCTAAGCATCTCGTCATTTCTGCTGGGAAAGATATTTATTTGGCATTAGCGAAAGGTGGAATTGTTGATGACCACTTTTTGATTTTGCCTGTGACACATTACCAAAGTATATCAATCTTACCAGATAACGTAAAAGAAGAGTTGAGGTTGTACAAGGTAAAGTATTATGAGAATGACTTTCCTAATGATGTACTTGAATGAAATTCATGAAACTAAATTTATATCTTTTGTTTTCAGGAAGCAATTAAACTGTATTGCGCACTTAATGACAGAGTACCAGTTTTTTTTGAGAGGAATTTCAAGACTTCTCATTGCCAACTACAAGCAGTTCCCATTCACAAAAACCAGGCTCCAGCTTTAAAAGAAACGTTTCAGGTGATGGCACTAAAAATTCTTTATATAAAAAGCTACGCTTCTTAATTGTTTTTTTTTTTTTTTATTTTTTTTAATTATACATTTTCACTTTTCAGGAAATTGCTGGAGTGTATCACATAACGATGAAAGAATTGAATGAAGATCTCAAAGAAGTGGCACCTCCTGGGGCACCATATTTTTTGGTAGAGTTCCCAAACGGAGAACAACTATTTTACAAAATAAAAAAAGATTTTCCCTTACAATTTGGCAGGGAAGTTCTTTGTTCCGATAGAATATTGGATGTTCCTGATAGATTTGATTGGAAAGACTGTCAACTTAGTAGAGAAAAGGAGTACATGTTGGCCGAAAATATCAAAGCTAAATTTCGACCGTTTGATGTAAAGCTGTAAAAATTTATTTTCTTTACCTTCAGTATTTTTTAATTGAAAAATACATTTTGTATTTTTTCACATGTAAAATACGATTCTCAAACAAAACTTGTACATAAGAAAGTGTTTATATTGTAAATAAAAATGGCTTTTTAATCATTGATGTTTTATTTAAATTTCCTCATAACGTTTTATTCGTGATAGCGACACTATTGTTAAAAATTAATCAACCTTAAGTAATAACGTGTATATATATGAGCATTTGTACAAACTGTAAAAAAATGTAAATTTTTTTTTGTTTTCGACTTAGAGGGTAACTTTTTAACATGCTCTCCACATCTAAATAACATCGTTTTGGTAGGAGAAGCACTTCTCAACGAGAAAACGTTGTCAGGAGTAAGACAGCTTACAATGCTAAGTATGGTTGGACAATTGGAAACACCATTAGACGATGAATTGTCATCACCATTGTTACACGCCTCCTTTTTCGGTAAGTAGTACAAAGGACCAAATTAGAATATTCATTTTGATAAAAAATTTCATTTTGTTTCATTTGTTGTAATTCATTTATTTGTTTGTTTTTCAGACGATGCTGAGGAATTTATTTCTACCGACACATGTCTTCAAGCATTTTTTTCGATGCTTGAAAAACATAACCAAACATCTCCAATACGTATCTATAGGCCCACACCTGATGTAGATCTCATATGGTCACGAATATTTGAGGTAGATGTTACAAGATCACTGACACTCGAGGAGAACCTCACAAGATCGGTGATACAGGAAGTAGATCTTACAAGATCACCGCAACCGATACCCGTGGTGGATCTCACGAGATCCCCACAACCGATATCAGAAGTTGACCTCACGGAATCGCCACAGCCTATATCATTAGTTCACCTCTCAGGAACATCCCACGATATTGACTTATTGTCTTCACCAGAGCTGTATGAAAAGAGTACGTTAAAAAAAAAAAAAATCTTCAGAGGACGAAACAAACAGTCCTGATGAAAAAAGCACTGTCGTAGATATTCGTTTTAGTTTTAACAATTATAAAGTTTTTAATATTTGTAAATCACATTTTAAGGATAAGTTACATTAGTTTTATAAATTAAATTTTGTATTTGTATATATTTTTCATCAAAAATACATTAGAAAAAAATTAAAAAAGTCTTGTACAATTATTTTCCTTTGATTCCTCATCCTATAATATTACACAATGCACATAATCCTATAAAATATATTTTTGTGTAAGTATCATGTGTGCAAAATTTTTCAACATCTAAGAAGACGTACTAAATCAACCAACGATACAGGTGGTGCACGCACATTGCACCGCGAACTCAAGCAGTATTGCACATGGCGCAAAAAAGTGAAAGGAAGCTGTTAAAGTTGCTAGCCCATCAGCGCTGCATAAATACTCAAGCCATGTGGCACATGGCACGTGCAAACTCGACAACGTGCGAAACAGTAAAAGGGAGCTGTTAAAGTCGCTCGCCTATCAACTGCATGAAATTCAAGCAGTATTGCACATGGTGCGTGCAAACTCCGACAATGCTGCAGGTAGTGCACACAATTGGGAGGGGGGTAGGAGCCTTTGCGCATGCTCAATGCGCACTTATCCATTTAACTAAAACGTACCTATTATGAACATCAAGCTTTCGACTTCATTAACTTGATCACACTAGACCGAGTAGCATCAGTTACTTTTTCCTTTCAAAATAGAGTACTTTGTAGACTTTCAGGGCTTTAAAAGCCTCATCAACTATTTTATTTTTAAAGAAATTTCCTATGTAATCTTAACAAGGATACTTTGTCTGTTGTTATTGTGCTTAACCCACCTTTTCTATTTGAGCATCTTCCAAAAAAGTATACAAACATAATAAATGGCTAGAAGCCAATTTCCATGGTCTAAATTGGGATTTTGGTAATATTTCTTACATGGAAGGAATAAACAATTTCAAGAGCATCCTGATTGATGCTGGAACAGTTTATGTCAAAGGTTGTGAGAAAAAAGAATGGTTACAAAACATACTGCCATGCAAGTATGTTTCTTATATATTATTAGCTTAATAAGAATACCTTGAAAATAAAAAAATTAGTTTTCTTATAAATGATACATTATTTTTTTCAGAGTTATTAATACTAAAGAGTATGGGTGTCCTGCTCTTAAAAATCTCGTACAAGACTATGAGCCATGCAAACATCACNTTGACATTTTTGAATAGCACTTTTTTTTTGTACATGGTTACAAATTTTAGACCTGTGTGCTTTTTAATTGATACTTGAGCTCGTGTTGCTCGGGAGTCATGAGTGGATCCAAACCGTTAGTCTTCATTTGCACAGCAATGTCGAATAGATAGTCATAGCACTCAGTCCTAAAAGATCAGAGAAATGGATGATTTATACTATTAATATAACTGGTAACGTTACACAATTGAGTACCAACATTGTCTTTGCTTGTTGCCACGTATCTCCCCAAACGTAAACTCCATGTCTTCGTACAAGAACTGCACAGGTTTCTGGATACTCTTCGATGACCTGTGCCATGTGATCTTTCAAATCTTCTTCAAAAGGTGTATTTTCAATGATGGGAACCACCAATTCTTCGTCATATCTCAATGCTCTGTTTAATTTTTGGTTGCGAATTCCTGAAATGTACATTGACGAAGTATGTGTAACAAATTATTATATGTCAAAAGAAAAAATCAATGTACCCTTGATCATCTCAAGATGGGTGCAACGAAATTCTGTTCCTGGCCAAAGTAGAGTCACCATCACAGCAAACTTGGAGTGGGTGTGAATGACAGCTCCAGCATTCCTGGCAGTGTAGGCACACATGAAGAGCGGCGTGCACTGTGATTTTTTCAAATTCTTCTCGAGAGGTGGCATTTCCAAGTCGTTTCCTTTGATGTCTTGGACGAACATTTCATCCGACACAATTCGTTCCTTTTGCACTCCAGATGGGGCAATGTATATTTTGTCCCTGGAAACATGTCAATTTACCACAGTAACATTTTCCAATTCACATGCCCAAATAAAATTAAAAGTGCCAATAAAACCATAGTGCGGGAAACAGATATTTATCATCTGAATGTGTTTACGTTTGCAAATGTTTTCGATTTTTTTTTCTGAGCGATATACCTAAGTGGCTGTCATATTTTAAAACAGGAACAAACATATAAAAATGTAAAAAAAAGGAAAAGAAAAAAAAAACAAGTTCTTACTCGTGTTTAATGGATATCCCACCTCCTGTTCCAGTGACCCATCCAAGATGATAAAACTGCCTGCAAAGTTCGGGGATGAGATTTTTCGGGTGCTCCTGGAAAAGGTAAAAGAAAAAAAATAAATAAATAAATAAATAATACACGAGTCAGATGCACATTATGCGAGAATAAAAAAAAATTCAATGCCCACCTTATCGTATTTTCCGTCCTTATGTTCCATTTCGGCGTTTGTAAAGCTCGCAAGCTCGACCAACGGTGCGGCTTTCAGTGTATGGCAATAAGAATGGAAGTTATTTGTTCGTTGTACACCTGTTGATGACGACAAATGAGATAATATTTATATGAAGTACGACGATCGAAAAATACTTGTGTATACAAGCTGCAGGAAAGTTACAATAAGAGCGAAATATCGCGAGTAGAGGCTCGATGTGAGATTATATATTACTGTGCAGGTACTGTCCGTGAAATATTATCTGCGGTGCTTTTATACCTACTCTCTCTATCCCTCTTTTCGTGCGGTGTGCATTTACTTATCAGAGAGTATTTATATATATATATATATATACATCGCAGTCGGGTGCGGCTGATAGCGAAACCGGTGTATTATACTTTTATTAGTGATTGCCATGGGATTATTTGTTTCCTTGGTTTTTGTTAATTATAGGTACTACTAATTTACTATTCTAATATGCTTTTTGTATGAATTTTTTTTTTCTACTAATTTTCGAGTAGTGACGAGTCATATGTGTGCACACCCACACGCATGACCAAAGTGATCAATAAATCGGTAAAAGTGCAGACAAACTATATGATATTTATTAATTACGTTGATTAATTTCATAGCGGACGATCGGTACGGAAGCTAATTTTTCCGAAAGCTATTATTCCTGGTGATGATGTCGCATGCACTTTGGCATTTTCTGCCTGACCCTCGGACAGTCTCTCTCGCAAGTGCATGGCTGATTCGCATCGGTTCTGGCAAGATGTCGCGATCACCGTCATCGTTACTACACTGAACTGAAGACTTTTATCCAACATTTCATGCAATTTTACCACAAAAATCAATGTTTATCGTGTATTCACATTGGCAGTACAGTTGGCTTTGTCAACAAGTGTTGAAAAAAAAACCCACAACATAATAAATAAACTTCAACGTATTTATGAAAAACCAATATGTTTAAATAAGCTTATTGAGACTTTCAGTGCCATAAATGCCACAGAGTAACCGTCTATACTAATAATTACAAATGACCAAAATGTATTCGAAAATCTAAACTTTTTGTGTCTTCCGGAGAATAAACAATAATAGTAAAAATAAAAATATTTTGAAAGAATAACGATGATTACTGAAAATGATGATGATGACGACAAATGTTTATCGATGAGACGTCAGGTGAACGTATGTCATCAATCAAAACTAATTTTCCTTAAAAGTCAATTAAAAAAAAGTCGAATCCGATCCAATTGAACTTTACTCGGTACAAATTCAATGCCTCGACCAAAGATCCCACTTAAAAAAAAAAAAAAAAAAAAAAAAAAAAAAAAAAAAAAAAAAAAAAA